CTGACCAGCCGCTGAATGGAGAGAGAAGAGGTGGTGGTGACTGATTACTTAAAATAAACATCTTGGGTCAGACCTGTTGTTCTTTTGAATCTCATTTCTTCCCATTGACTGTGAAGGAAGCCTTATAAGGATCCCTGCCTTCTAAGTTAAATATATATAAAAATGGAGGGAGAAAGCTTTATAATTTCCTTTATATATAGAGCAGACTGCAGCTTTGGTGAGAGTATAGATGTGTTTTTAATTTAGCTAATGCAGAATATGGCTCTGTGCTTAGTGGTCTCTGCATATAGTTAGAAGTACCATTAGGAAGCATTATCAGAGCATTCAGTGTCTGGATTTTTGTTCTCCTCTTGATCTAGGTGGGAGGACTGCAAGGAGTCTCCAGAGGAATGTATGATGGGCCTGTGTATGAAATCCCAGCTACGCCAAAATATGCAACTCCTGCACCCTCAACTAAATCCTCCCCTGCCAAAAACCAGCCCCCACCAATCAGAAACCTCCATCAATCCAATTTTAGCTTATCAGGTAAGTTAGCCTGACTCATCAGAAATGTTTTAAAGCCGTGAATATGGATTATTGGTGATAAATTTCAATTATAATTATTTAATCAAATATGAAAGGATTATTTATACTCGCATACATGCATATACTTATATATATGTATGTATGGATATGTATGTTTTTATACATTCTTTCATTTACGAACTGCAAATATTCAAAATATTTGCAATCTAAAATTTTTCTCTGCATGCAGTCTTTTAATATTTACCTGGCCCATTACAGTTAGCTGAGGTCTCTGGTTGATGTGAATGCTGCCCCTCGGTGGTACATGCAGCTGATGGGACCTGGGTCTGGTGCAACCCACGTGGCTCAGACGTCTCAGATTTCTTTCTTGCGGCATCACCACAAACTGCTAGACATGGAAACCTCAACTGTCCTCGTCCATGGCGGGCAAACCATGTGCAGAAGCTATTCCTATGCAGATTAGAGTATTTATTGTCCTCTTTGCTCTTCGTGCTCCAAACATTTTCCATGGTATATAAGAAAGACTGGAAAATCTCTTTTTGGAGTTGTTGGAAAGAATTCCTGTCATCTGAAGACAATTACAAGTGTGTCAGATCCTTATGCTTCAGAAGTCTACAGCCCAATTGGTAAATAAGTGGCTCCTTATGATGTTATGAAAGTCACTGGATTTTCTCCCCTGTGGCACCAATGATGGAGTTTTACTCCCTGACAGATCTTGTCTTTAGAAACTAAATTAAACTTCTGGAAGAAAGCCCAAGGAGAGCAAGTATTTAAAAAATCCTCCTAGTGAGTTGAAGTATATTTTTGCCCATACACCTAGGGCCATGGTGAGCACATATAGATACGTAAAGCTATATAAAGCAAAAAACATGCTTAGAGATTTGACCTTTAATACTAATAACCAATAAATGGGATTTTCATAAGCATCTGAAGCTGTGGTTTCAGAGTCCACTGCTGGATCTGGGTCCTACCAAGGCATCTACCGGTATGAGTTTGATCCCAATCAGGCAAACACACATTACTGTGTTCTTACGAAATTAAGCACAGCCAGAGACTACAATAGCATTTAACATGATCCTGTGTTTTTATGGTAGTCTTACATTGCCTTTAGGAAGCTGAGTGGGATCACACAATATTTAGCCTGTCAGAAAGCTTGCTGTCACATAAGCTTAACCTTTCAACATTTTAAAACACAGCTTGAAGTGGGTGTGAGTTTACATCAGCTCAGCGCTCCTTTCCTCATGGATTTATGATTTAATCCTGCAGTTTTCATTGAAGACAACTGGAGCTAAGCACAGAGATGTGCCTTGAAGGTCTGTTTAGCACTTCCTTCAGGGGTCTGGCTCAAAAGAAACCAGCTGATGGTGGTGTGAGGGGCACATAGCTGGAACGAGCCAGGTTTATAAAATCTCACTGCTGATGTTTTTTTTCCTTTTCATAGCTTTGTTTGCCCATTTTCTGTTGTTGCAGGAGCTCAGATAGATGACAATAACCCACGCCGTACTGGTCACCGCATCGTGGCACCTCCTGGTGGTCGCTCTAATATTACCAGTCTTGGCTGAAAAATGGTGATGGACAGAAACACAAGGATGAAGGATCATGGGAATAATGTCTGTTCCCTTCAACATTGGTGTTATCAAACCCACAGTTTTATTTGGTACTAATGGAAATAAAAAATGAAATGTCTTTCTCTTTTTTTGTATAGGAAGAGGTGATAATAGTGTGGTGTGTTTGCTTGGAACTACTTGCCTCACAATTGTGCTTTCATGCCAGTCACCTTAAAGCATGGTGCTTCCATTACCCCTTTAGTGACTACAGGTTTTAGCTTCGTCTCGTAACTGAATGATGGTTCCTTTGCACCCTTTCGCTGTATTAGAGTAGTTAATGCATGTTACTGAGTTATTTATGCAAGTTGCATTCTGTGAGTGAGTCCCTTTAGAACACGTTGCCAACAATTGACTAGACACAATGCCAAGATTAATGTATTTGAGGAACACCACCAAAAAAACTTATGAAGGAAGAAAATGGCCATCTTGAAAGTATGCAGTAGAGTAGTATAGGCAGCTTCTGTTTCATCTTTAATTTATTATAAACCCAAGAAGCACTTCTGAGACACAGAAAATCATCGGGACACGTAATGACAAATGGTCTCTGTAGCACCTGTCTGTTCCCTCTCAGTACGTTCCAAGTCTGTGTCCTTCTTGTTTCCATTTTAGAGCCATAATTTATACATACCAATGCCATTGCCACCCCTGCAGGGATTTCTCCACCTGGGCGGTAGTGCTCTCCTTCTGCATGAGATTTTTGGTACTTACAGATAATCCAAGTTGCCGTCAGATTTTTAAAGTTTTTTGTACAAAGTTTTTCCTTTGTAATCACATGCATTTTTACTTACTCTACCGTATCAAGATCTACTAGTTGTGGTTCAATTTCTGAATTCAAAGCTTGTGAAATAAAGGAAATGAACTGATGGGTGTCTTCCTCTGCTGTTGCTCAATGATTGAAAATTTAGAATGGAGAAACTCAAGAGAAATTGTCTTTTAGGTTGACATCATGTGAAAGAAGGAACCTCCTCAGATCACAAGGAGTGTTAAATGTATAGATATCTGCGTATTCATACTATAGCATGCCATAATCTGTCTTAAATAGAGCTCACAGTAAAAATGTACTTACTATTAACATTGCAGCTGCCTCAGTTTTGGCCAAATGAGGCCTAATTAGCTTTCTTCCAAGTCTGCATCTGATTTGCTTGATTGCCATCATCTTCATCTGTAGTACAGAACCAGTATGCAGTGCTCCAGTTTGACCTGAGCTATATTTGACTTAACACTGGTTTTCACTACTGACTGAACTGGGACAGTGTTTAGGCACAGCACGAGCAAGACATGCTGCAGGTAAGGTGAGGAAAGCGGACTTGCATTCTCTCTCTCTGTGAGAGTGAAGGAAATGATTTCTCCTTGTCTGACTCACAAACTATGTAAAGAAGCCTTTGCTATCGCTTTTTATTTGTGTGATTGTGTTGCAGATGTTGTGGGAGGAACGGGCTCTGGTGGAGGGTGGGATGCTAGGAAATCAAGCAGGTCAGCAGAACACCTCCGCTTGGCCTTGTGCCACGTGCCCTTGTCTGAACTACCACACTACACCAGGACAAGTCTTGCAGCAGCGTGGTGCCAGTGGAATGGGTTTATCTAGCTGTGATGCTTGACCACTTAGCACCCTTCCATTCTTTCTACACAGCAATAAATTGTTTTGGCACAGGGCATGTGGCACATGCCAGGTGTAGCTGGGACTGAAGCCTACGTGAAGCTTGTCATTCTGAAGCCAGTATGCTATCAACTCCAGCTTGCCCTGGAAAGGAATCGCTGCCCTGGAAAGCTCCATTTTGGTCAGCTTGGTCTGAAAACCTGTCAGCAGAGCTGGTCTGAATAGCCAGCTTTTCTGTTTGCTTTGGCTTTTATCTGAAGCAGTGAAGAAACACTACAATTCAGCCTGTGGTGAACTGAATTGATTGCTTTCAAAATCAAAGGAAAATAAAGACTTTCATGTACAATCCCTTCTGCTAAGGCTTCAAATTCGTGTTTCCTATTGCCTGGAGAGTGCCTTCATCCCTGGGCTTGCTCGCTCACTTGGTGGCTCGGGTATTTCATATGATAGTAAATAAAATAACTTGCTTACGGGGTGGTTCAGGTTTTTTATATGAAGTAAAAAAATGCTAGCGGAGAAGCCTGAGAACAAACAGGCCTGGAATAACCCACAGCCTAGCTGGTAAGGCAATCCTGAAATGCCAGGTGTCCGTTTCCACTGTCCTATTCCAACCCATGTGCTATGAGTGTTGACAGAGCCAGCAACAGTTTTGGGAATCTAACCCTGACAACAGAAGTAAAGCTGGTTTGTGAAACTACACGGCAAATTTGACATAGTGTGACAATTTTGGAACTGCTGGTTACAATTGATTTTTCTTGCATGCGTTTGTGCAAGTAGCAATGGTTGTTCACCTCTGAGTAAAAGTTCTTGATCTACGAGGCTTGTCACGCTTGAGGTGACAAGTTGACAGATTCTACTTTTCCTACATGCTACACAACATCCTAAACCAAAGAACCCTTTGCCTACGAGCTAGTCAAGATCCACTGTTGTTAACATGCATTTATTTTTTGATGGTAAAATGTCTGTGAACAAATACACGTGTGGGTGTTTGTGAGGCACTTCATGGTTCAGTGCTTCTATGCGAACAAGACTGTGCTTGTCAGGTCAATGTCACTCTGCTATGATTACTCCAAGAAGAAATACGCTATTGTGCCCGTGATGTTCATAAATCCCCACAGCCCAACTGCTGCTGCCACACAGCTGCTGAGGGACAGCCTGCAGGAAGCCTGTGCATCCTGTGCTGTGCCTGGGTCTCTTCACTCTGGATATGCAATACTGCCTGGATGTGATTTAAACAGCACTTCTTTTCAGCACAGGTACCTTACCGCATGGTCACCAGGTGAGGTGAAGGATGCCTCACTTGGATGGTTACTGTGATATATCATCAGAGAGATGACATGTGCCATTGCTCAGGGGGGGTTTAAACAAAGCAAGGTAAGTGGTGGTTCTCTTACCACCTGGAGGCCTATTTCACAGCAGTGCCCCTGCCCCTACATCACTAACCTGTCCTTAAAAAAAAATAGAACAGCAACAGTATATACAATGTGGATTAGCTGGTGATCCTGAATATATCCGCAGAAGAGGAAATAAGTTTGCTCCCTTGTAGGAGCACTAAGCTGGGAGACGTTCAATTTGTGAACTTGTGGCTGGCGAGCTGCTGTTAACTACAAGAAAGCAGTGCAAAGTCACTTTCATGCTTTTGAATCATTAGGCTTCTAAAAATTTGCAGCAAGGCTATGACCTTTTAATACGTGATACATGATGTAAATGATGTAAAACTGGCTCTTCTCTAGTGCCATTTGCAGATCCCTTAAAATTTATTCCCATGACCAGTCTGACGACTATCTTCATCAGTCAAGTGAGGTGGAAGAGAAGGTTGGATCCATGGATTGTTTCCCGAGTGACAGTTTGGACCAGCTTGTCTCATGTTACAGAGCAATGTTACAGAGCAATGTAGTTGCAAGTTTGGATTTTAGCATTTGTAGCAGAGCCTGTTAATTATGACGCTAAGACTGTACCAAAACTGACAGCTGTCCTAGCCATTAGATGTTTCTCTTGGCAATACACTGGTCTTCATCCTTAATAACTAAAAATGCCAACTGGACTAGGTCAGATGAACATCCACTCTGGGTTCCAGTAGCCAACAACATACACTTAAGGGAGGCCAGAAGAAAAGAGCAAACATATAATGATAGTATTCCTCTGAGTGTTTCCCTCATTTCCAGTGCCTTGTGATTTCTTGAGAAGCATCATCATCTTTGTACTCCGTAGCTGTCAGGGGATTTTTCTGCCATGAATATATTTGCCAAGGCACTTTTAAACCCAGGTAAAATCTTGACATTTATGGCTTCCTGGAGCTTAACACATTACAACAAAATGTCTTTTGAATTTGCCATCACTGTCAAGCTGGTCTACTTGACACCAGCTAATTCCTGCCATGTAGACCTGGCCAGTGTTAAAGCTCAGTCATTTGAACAGTTTTGACAATGGTTTTCCACCATTATTTTGGTGAACTTTGCACTATGCTTTCCAGGTATGTTTCAGTGACCATAGTGAGGGGTATTCAATTAAAAATAAATTGTGTAGAAGAGTAAAAATGCAGAGTTTGAGATACTCTTTCTTTAAATATCATATAACTCGCTAATTAGTTGCAGTGATATGGGTAAAGCAGTTAGGTCTTAGCACGTCACCTCTGCTTCCCCACCTCCCCAGCCAACTGCATATTCTGTACTTTTTCTAGCACAGTAAGGTACATGCAAAGCTGTCTTTAAATGTATAATCATATATAGCCATATAGAGTCATACATGCTTTAAAAATCTTTCTTAGCAGCTTCTTCCTCACAACTGGAAGTAAGCTAACCTGAAAGTGGCTGCAATGCTTCTTTCTGAAAGTCTTCAGCTGGCTGGGCCCAGGCCCTTGTCCCCCACCTTGATGATTGGGGTGGTGGCGGGGGGCAGTGGGGATTTGCAGGGGTCCCGCTGAGACCGGCACCATGCCTGGGTCCTTCCCGGTGCCCTCTGCCTGTCACCTCCACCAGCAAGGGGATGAAAATCCCTCTAGCTGCCCGGGAGAGGGCACTGCTTCCCCGCTTTTGGGACAATCTGAATCTTTCCACATTTTCTAGGGGAGACAAAAAGCCATTTCAGCTCTGCCTAGCCAAAGGAGCATCTGGGGAGACCTTGCTCGGGTGATAAGAGACCCTGCTTGGGTGATTACGCTGCATGCTGACTGTGATGGGAGCCACTGCTGTGCTGCATGGTTTAAAACATCATCAACTCGAATATTAAAAGCTTCCTTCTTGCTACCTATATAGAGTGCACTGCAGAATTAAGATATCCAGAGGAAAACAGGCTGCATTCAAGCACAAGAAGCAACTAAAATATCCAGATGAGGTTGGCAGAGAGACCATAGTGCCCAAGTACTGAAATACCAGAATCAAATGCTCAAAGTGGTACAATTTAAAAAAAAAAAAATTTACAATGTTGAGGCGAAAATTAACCATTTAACAATTGTGTGTAACATGTCTGGTAAAGTCATTTGTGTGGCGGCACTTTTGTCCGAGGTAAACTGCATAACTGATGTAGTCTTTTCCATCATGCGCCAAAGGACAGCCTTTTCATTAGAAAAACATATGTTCATTTTAAAAAGGCAGAAGATTTTCATTTCATGAAAGCTACAAGATTGCTTAAGGGGGGGCAATTTATGACACAATACAGGTGCTCAGTACAGCCAGTTAGAACTAGCTGCTTTGCATAACAAGAATTCCCATAGGAAACGCGATGAGCATAACAAAGTATGTTGGTAACAAAAGAGTGTACTTAAGGAAGAAGACTAGAAAGTGAAGTATAAAAAAATGAAACAGCAAACCGTTTTTGTCTCACTCTTCCTAAAAACAATAATTTGAAATCTGAGACAAACGCAGAGAAATATATTTATAAAAATCTTTGTACAAATTTCAAAAAGCATACATAGCCTTGGAAGCAACAAAATATAACAAAAGAGAGACCAAATTTAATCTTTTGATGTACCAATATCTTCTGAAGTCTGTTTACATATTCTTTACAATTCTATCTCTTTTTGTTAGTTCAAAGCAGTAATCACAAAATATTAAGACCTGATCTACAACATTTAGGGCTCAAAAGAAAATGGCACATCACTATTACAATGAAACCTTACTGAGGTGCATTGATCTGGGCAACCAGCCTAGGGTGAATCTGTTCTGCTACAAGGGCACTTTCCTCAGGGATAGTCCTAATCTAAAACCACCTCCCCTCTACACTCCCCAAGTGATCTGGAAGAGCTTATATTAAAGACTTCCTTGTTTCCCCTTACCAAAACCAACTGGGAATGTTTTATTAACATTTTAAGGAACATGGGACTGATTCTTGCTCTTGTAGTTAAAGATGATTTTTCAGTTATTATTGATGTCCTTTCTTGTTCCTCAGTAAAGCAGTTCAGTAAGTATTTAAGGCTGCTGAAATTCCCCAGAAGAATGCTTTGGTACTCTGTGTTCACACAGCTCATACAAATGCTTTTACTACCTGTTGTCTCTTTTTTTTAGCATCTTTGAGGTTTTCCTTGGTTCATTCTCTCCGTCATGTGGACTCTGTAACCTCTCTCTGAAAGAAATAAACCAGAAAAAATTAAAAAAAAATGTAGACAGAGTTTTTCAAACCCTACCATTCTCTCTTAAACTAAATTAGTTTTGATAAGAGAAGAAAGGCGCGTGCTACATAATTATAACTTCTGCACTCCCTGGTTTCAGCTGCCTCTGTTGAGGCTGCCAAAACAAAGTTGCATAAACGTTCCTTTGTTGGGTCCCTGTTGCCTACACACGTATCCTTTGTCAGCTGTGGGAAAGGAGTGTGTGAAAAGGGTTGATGCCATCAGGGAAAGGAGCCATCTCCTGAAGTCAGTCCCAGGCTGAGGTCACTCAGGGGATAAATACTTTTCCCCAAAGGCCTGTGGCTCTTGAGAACCAACTGTTTGCTTTGCCTGTCAAGGGCATTTTCTCTGCTCAATATATCAAGCCCCAGTGACCAGCTGGCTGGTTTGATCTCCCCATAGTAGTCAGCTGGCATCTTTCAGGTTTGTAACCATTTCTTCTCCTCTAGTTAGCAGCATAGCATAAGCCAACTGAAACATCTATCAAGAAAATAATTGTTAAGAGCTGCTACCCTCATCAGCCAAAGACTGGCACTTGCCTTTGTTCCTGAAATAAAGGTGGAAATTGAAAGCCTAAATACCACAGACCATATTTTGGTTGCTACATGTCAGCCTAGTCCCATTGGATTCACTTGTCTGTGCTGATTTATGCTGTCTGTGAATCTAGTTTTAAAAACCTAGTTAAAGCAAATTTGTAAACAGTATTTCTTGTTTCTCTACCTAAGCTATGTATAAAATACATAGCAGGACAGACAAACTCAGATGATTTTCCTAAGTTTAAAAAAGAATAGGGGGGAAAAAAAGTCAAGTACACGTAAGAAGTATTAAGGAAGAAGCTCAGCTAGCACGGGCATTACATTTTGGGTCCGACTGACATATCTGCTTATGAAGTAGATTTTGTACTGCTTTGTATAGATGGTTTTTCACATGCAATTTTTTTAGCCTTTACTGTACCTGCATAAGCCAGAAGTCAGTCCAGGGGGCTCTTGAATATTTTCATGAGAATCATCTTTGTCTGCTGATTCTGGTGACTGAAAGGTCTTTCTTTTTGAATTTGCTTTTTCCCCTGAATTACCGAATGCATGTGGATTAAAAAAAAAAATAAGAATCACATATAGTAGAGCTTGTTTGGTTTTGATTAATGTAAAGCAAAAAAAATACACTCTAACACTTCATACATGTATGTTACTATTCCAAAGAAATCATTCCACTTTACATTAGTCTAGAATATTGTTTTTTTACCGTTGGTTACTTCTTACAGAGCAGACCTTGAACTTTCAGCAAACAGAAGAAAAGGCAATTCACAATTTTATGTGATTTGAATCAGAACAATCTGATGTTAAAAAGTCACTGTTTTCAGGTCCCTGAGCCAAGATTCCATGTGTCCCTGGGGTCATGGTGCCTACCAGTGCAAACAGCTCTGTATGCTTGACAAACAACCTGGGGAGAGAGACTTCAAAATTGTCCAAGTGAGTGAGCTGCTTTTCCTTTTTGGCCACCCTTGTCACCTTTCAGCATCTTTCAAATGTAATTCCAAATGTTTCTTTCTGATAATGACAGCAGGATTGCATGGCTCAAAGGACAAGAATTTGCACACTCCACCCCAAATACACCTAAGTATCTCTTGCATAATTAATTGATCTAATTTGTTAAAACTTCAGTAAATTCATATAAATATTTCAAGTTTCCCGATTCATAAGATTTTATTTGTAAGCATGTGTGTGGGAAGGCAATTCTTCCATTCTACCAGCAGAATGAAAGTTGGCTCTGCTGTCCTCCCAAAGACTTAGGAATTGAGGTGAAGAGAGTCGTTTCTAAAGAACATAATAAAGACATGAAAACTAATTTTGGTTTGAGCAAGGCAAAGCCTTATGTCAGTGGACACAATGCAATCTACTAGCTAAAGGACTGCTCTGGAGTGAGGAATGGTGACACCTATTTGTGGCTGTGCTACTGGCAAACTGCATGACCTTGGAAGACTGCCTCACTTTTCTACATCCCAATTAGGGAAACGAGACTGATAAAAAAATCTCTCCTGAAACTCCACTGTTTTATATTGCAAAATATGCACTGATATGTGGAATGATGAGGGTTTTTTTAAACAATTCAGGATTGTACCAACCTGCTGGCTTGCTCCTTTTGGAAGGCTGCTTCTTCACAGCCACTGGAACGCGGGCCAGTGCAGCCAACTCACTCACAAAGTCTTGCTCTGCTTCCTGGGCGCAAGGATAAACCATAAGTCAGTTAACACAACACAGCTTGGTTCTGTGTTAAGTTATTCTACATGTGGCATGACAAAAAAGGCATATGTCATTGCAGAAACACAGGAAACAATATGGCTAGCATCAGGGTAGTGTTTCCTACAAGACAGTGGTGAATCTTAGCACTGATTTCAACTAGGACAGCAAAGAGACCCTTACAACCTGTCTGATGTTTTGCCATGGACTGCTTCAGATCTGTGAACCATTTTACCCTGATTTACCTTTAGTTGATTCTCCAACTCAGTTTCTAGGTGATGCAATCCCAGCAGCTTCTGTTTCAGAGACACCAAACGAATTTGCTGCTGCAGTTCAAACTGAGCCAAAATCTTCTGCTGCAGCACCACCCTGGTCAAGAGAAATTTTCAAGTACCAATGTTCAGTTCAATGGAGGAATACAATCCCGGCAAAATGTGTTTAGAAGATTTTGTAGACAGAAAGGCTCATTAACAGTATCAGCCCCTCCAGCTTCTGCTGGGACAAAAAAAATTGCAGTAGATTTTTAGATAGATTTACTTAATTGAATAACCTGCCTTGGCTCTCCATGCTATACAAACTCCTTTTGGAGGTAGGAATTGCTGTAGGTTTGTGTTGTCCATGCCTGGACTTTGGGAGCTGGAATTAAGCTCTAATGTCGAAGTCTGCTTTCAAAATCATCGTATGTTTCTGAAGTCAGCTTTACTGTCTGCTTGCCAAAGAGACAAGCTGTTAGAAGATCAGGCGTGAGGATAAGGGATTAAGAATTAGGCATTTCATTCAGGGCTCTTCAGTACCAGATTGAGACTGAGACAAACATGGTAATTCAAAACTTGGCAACTGGGTGCATTGACAACTATATTTTTCACTTGTTTTATTTTGCTGGTTAGTGAATAATATTAATACAGTAGAACCTCAATGGCTGCAACTTTGCTGAACATTTATTTCTCCTGTTCTTTTGCTTGGTCTACTTTGAAGCAATGCTGTCAATCACCCATCACATTCCTCAGGGAAGGAGATAACACAAATTGGTTTTGACATGTACACATAATGAAGTTTCTGTTGTAATGGTCAATGCTTACAGAAGGTTAGCTTTCAAAATTTGCTTTTTGAACTCACACCCATAACCTTGCACCAAGGGCAAAAGGAAGTAAAACAATCTATGTTGACTTTAAGAGGAGTTATAAAAATTTATGGAAATTTTGACATTAATTTACACAGGAGTGGGATCTGTCTGTAAAAGAAATCATAATAACAATAGAAAAATGGGTTTGATTACTAATGGTTATGAGACAAGCTTAGATACTGAATAATTACAGTCTTCAATACCATATTTCTGCTTCCACGAAGGCCAATTTGATTGTATTTTTTTAAAGGCACTAGATTATGGGAGAAAAAACTGAGACAACAGTTAGAAGTTAATTTATATGTCAGAATAAATGATAAACTTGAAAATGAATAACTAACAGATGTTTTATGAAGCCCTTTATTACATGAATCCATTTCTATACTAATTTAAACAAGGACAAAAACCAAAAAGTGGGTAATGATTTATTTCAATTTAGAAGTAACAAAATATCTAAAAAAAGAATCAACCTCTTTACAATGTCAAAATTGCAGATACTCTGTTATTCTGGACAACAAACCAAGAATAAACAAATAAAATTATTACAAAAATGTGTCATGAGCATGCCAAGTTATACAGCTTTTCATGACAACTTATTCCTTTGGAATTGCAGTGCTTTTTGTCTGGACTCTTAAGTTTTATAAAATCAGTAATGAATTAAATATTCTATGATAAATACCATTTTTATTTAATTAACATTTGACAGATTCCAGTCTACATTTAGTGCAAGCAATCTTGATTGTCCAAGGCATTCACTGAAATCTTCTTGCCATTTTGAGTATTATTTATGCTTCAAGCATTTTCTCATTATGGTATAAGTTTCCTCAACAGCAAACTAACAAACACTTTGATATTCAACACAGAATAGATGGAACGTAATGAATTGGAATGTAATGAACATAATGAATGACAGCATTGTTTCCCATCCTACATTTCTGTTGAATTTCTTTTAAAACGTGGCATATGTGTTGGCATTGTTTTTCAAACTGTCTTTGTATAGTTCTTCAGTCTGTAATTAATGAACATCAAAAAGTTCATTCAGTAAGAATGTAATTCTCTGAGATCAAGGGGTAGATGTAATTTGGCAACAGATATTTCTTCTCCATCAGAGACAAATGTAAAATGCAAAGCCAAGACATTTTTTCACCTAGACATTTATATTGATCTGCAAAATCTCACAACATTTAAAGTCAGCAGTGCTGCTGCCTGTTCTTACCTTTGATGGACTGTGGATGATACGTTCAGGAGGCCTTCAGTCTGTTTTTCTTTCAATGCTAGTTCATTCTCTTGTTTCTTCTTAAGTTTGTTCCTTTTATCTCTTTCTGCTGAAATAATATTCTTGTAAAATCTGCTCAAAATTATAAACTCTGAGTTGTGGCAACCTTATTTCTTTTTTGCATCAGCACAAATTAATCCCTGTTCTAGGTAGTCCTTCCAAAGTCACTGCCTCTTAGGGATATCAAGTACTTCTTACACACTCTAGCTCTGTCACTGTGATCTGTTGCACAGACAATAGTTTGTGCATCATTTAGCTGAGATGGTAATGCCACTGAATTCTTATTCTTATCTACTCCTACTCTCCTAACTGATTAACATGGAATTCAAAGCAGAAATTTTATGAAAAGACCTTGATACCTTAAGCAAGAACTGTAATACCTAAATGAAAAATGCAACATAAAGAAAACCTCTGCACAGAGGCCACTTAGTCCTGGGAATGCCTAATTTCACTAGATGTCCCCTCATTTGATGGCAAAGTATTGAGTACTTTTGTGTATGCACACAGTCTGTGAGTAACTTGGTGTTTTTCTGATGACCAGGCTCCTGACTCTTGCCCCTGAAGTCCTGTCAACTGTGAAAGTCCTGTGAAAGCCAACTGTGTCCTGGGCTGCATCAAAAGAAGCATGACCAGCAGGATGAGGGAGGTGATTCTCTCCCTCTACTCTGCTCTCGTGAGACCCCACCTGGAGTACTGTGTCCAGTTCTGGGGTGCTCAACATAAGAAGGTCATGAAGCTGTTGAAGAGAGTCCAGAGGAGGGCCATGAAGATCATCAGAGGGCTGGAGCACCTCCCATATGAGGACAGGCTGAGAGAGGCTGTTCAGCCTGGAGAAGAGAAGGCTCTGGGGAGACCTTACAGCAGCCTTCCAGTACCTGAAGGGGGCTACAGGAGAGATGGGGAGGGACTCTTGGATCAGGGAGTGGAGTGATAGGACGAGGGGTAACGGCTTTAAGATGAAAGAGCGTAGATTTAGATTAGATACAAGTAAGAAATTCTTTACTGTGATTGAGGGTTGTGAGGCACTGGAACAGGTTGCCAGAGAAGCTGTGGATGCCCATCCCTGGAGGTGTTCAAGGCCAGGTTAGATGAGGCTTTGGACAACCTGGTCTAGCAGAAGGTGTCTCTGCACATGGCAGGGAGGTTGGAACTAGATGATCTTGAAGGTCCCTTCCAACCCCAACCATTCTATGATTCTAATACACCGGGTCACTGTTTTGTTTGTGTGTCTGTACTAAACTTTGAGTAACAGCATTCTGCACCTATGACTGTAATTCAAGTCATTACTACCAATAATAATAGTTCTACCACTTCTCTTTCAAAGATGGATATGGACTTACAGCCATTTTGCTTTGTTGATTACTTTAAACAACAGAGTTCTGTTATCTTTAAAAGCAATCTTTACAGTGATAATTAATTTATATGTTAAAAACCAAGAATTATATTTGTCAATATCATACGCACCTTGTAAAGATTTCAATTGTTGAAGCTTTTTCCCTTCATAGCTTTCTGTGATTTCTCCTAATTGCTGATAGTAGTTTTGCACCAGTCTGTTAATATTATTGCTGGTCACATACACACTCTCTACAGCAGTTTCCACCAGTCTCTCCTGTATTACACAGTACGAGTCACAATTCATTTTCTAAGTCAAAAACTGAAGTGTTTTGATCTGTCTAAAATTGAGGACACAAACTAATTTTGTATTTGCACACAAAATTGTAAATTTTGTGCTTTAAAAATGTGTCAGACAGAGATGCTGGAAAACAGGTATTTCTATTCATCCATTGAACATTTCAACATGAAAATTTACAGTAAAATCTTTCTAATGTGCTTCATTTCTATCTGGGAAGGGGTGATTTCCCTATCTGTTCAATCTCTATAGCCCATTTTACCTGTCAACCCAACTGCCAGCAAAGTAAATCAATACATGTAAAGCTGATTTATAAATGATTATGTCATTTAATTATTTATCTATGAATTAATATTAAGCTTTTAATATACAAATACTATTAACCATAAAACCCTCATCAACAGATAACCATCTCGTTTTCTTCCGCATTATTGTTATTTTCTGTCATCAAGAGCTCTCTCAAATTTTTTTTTATGTTCCAGAGTTTGGCCTAATAAAACCTATTTTGGCTTCTACATACATTTTAATAATCTGTAAATATTTTGCAAGGTATCCTCAGTTTTAACACAGGTTGTAATGGTCTCCTGCTAATACTTCTAGGCATAGGACAGTGCATAAATGAAATTGCCTTCCCTTTTAGCAAAGAAGCACTCATTTTGTTTGGAAAACCGCTACTGAACATTTCCATACCTTGAAGTCCTGACCATCATCTGAACTTCTTTTTCCAGCTTCCTGCTGGGCATGCTGCAGCACGGTCCGCCCAATCACCTGCTCCATGTGCTGCTGAAGAAACTGAAGAGCTTCTTGAATTTCTGTGACTAGCTGCTGGTGAAATTCTAAATGGGTTTGCTGTGTTTCTTCCTCAAGCTTCTCCTCCTCTTCCAGAATGTGGGACTCCTGGTAATCAGACAAAAAGATAGCATTGCCATTCAAATACACTGACAAAGACTTTAAAAGAAAGTCCTACACCCGTCCAGAATTTTACCGTTTTAATATTTAGAATAATTTGATTTCCAGTGAAAGTTTATGTACAGTCATTTAACACATTTGTCTTTGCAACAGAACTACTTCCCCTGTCATGACACATACAATAACAGCTGCATCCTGTCCTGTTAGTCATTTCCAAATGATGTATTCCCATCTTTGTGTTCTGTACTGTTGAATCTGGTCTTATTTCTATTAAAAATATAAACAATCTAGGTCAAATATCCTGTGTTCACTAAGGGATAATTGTGGATGCCTCGATAAAGTGCACAGGAACAAGGCAATTATACAGTTATGCACCTGGAATACTCATACAGTTTGTGGGGTCTACCTGAGAAAATGTTGGTATATTGGTACTTATGGCCCTTGGGAGAGGTCATCAACGTGTTTAATAGCACTTGGAAATCATCTGTGCTCTTGGTACCTACAGCAACCTGTGGTGGTGAGTTCTCCAGCTTAGCCATGCATTTCTTAATTTTGAACCAGACATCTAATAGCTTTGCTCAGTGCTCTCTTCTTATTAGAAATAAGAAATCAGAAACAAGTGAAAAATTGTTCCTATTCACATCTTTTATGTTAGTGTTAAAAGTTATGATGTTCCAGAAGACACCACTTTTTTAGGCTGAAGAATTCTAGTCTCTTGAGGTCTTTGGACCATCCTCACCACCATTTTCTATGCTTCTTTTTAACTTCACTTTCCCTCTAAACTATCTTCAGCACACAACAGTATACACTCACCACCGTGACCTGCTCTGTCTCCCTTACATGTATTAGTCTTCCATAGATTGCCTTCTATTGAGTTGCTGATGTTCCTCTTATATTAATAGTCTCATTTAAGGCTAAATAACATTAAATTATTCTGGGGGATTCAACAGCACCTATTTGATTCTCTCTTGGAAGTGAGAAATCCAAGTAGGAAAAGAACCTGCTCTGGACACATTCATCTGTGGAAAATAGTGACGTCCTTATTAATGCTGGGTTATTCTCACATGTCTTTATAGCTCAGACATGTTTTTGATTTTTTTAAACATTTAGAATATTATTAAACAGTTTTGTTTTGTTTTTTTTTTTCCAGAGACCCAATGTCAAGCTAGGATTCTTTAGTATTGTTTTAAATTTTATATTAAATCAACAGATAGACATTACACTATCTACCAGTCTAAAATTGGCACAAGCTCAAATTAAGTTTAGTTCAAACAACTTGGTATGTCTAAAACTCTAGTTGAGTCTCTGCAAATTAACCTTTTCCTTAACTCCTTATACATTGGCTCTAGTTTTATATGTTGTTAATAACATTTTTTTTTCTCTGACTTTTTGCAATTCCACACCTAGGCCCTACTTCTTTGGCAGCAGGGATCTTCTATGTGTATTTTTAGGCGCTTCTTTGTGAGATGGGTTTTAGCTGGCCTTGGAAAGAGGCTGTAAAGGAGAGAGGCCAAATGAACCGTAATAACTGGGGACATTTCATTTTTTTTAGGGAACACAGTGATTGCCTCAAAGTCCCTGTAGGAGCTAAGTGAGAAGGAGTAGTGGAAAGAAGTAAGAAGCACGTAAGAAGAGGAATACAGTCACATGAATTTCTATTTCATTATTTTATATTTTATTTCTTCTGAAGGTTAATGAGATTGTGAGATTTTCACACTTAACAGGAACTACTTCGTTAGAAGCATCAAATATGAAAACGGCAGCAGACTGAATTTCATTATTCCTCTTTCAAGTGAGGAATTAGAGTTTGTATTATGCAAATCAGAATTAGAGGGATGCACAGTATGATCTCTCATGAACTACACAGCGACAGCATGGGGCACAGAGCTACAAAGTGTTGGATGGGTTCAACTTCTATGTGCAGCAACAGTGGGGTGGGCAGGTGCTATCACTGATGACCACTAGGCAGGTCCTCTGAGGTTGAAATCTGAAATTTGGTGTTCTAGGTAAATATCCAATGCAGATAAGTAAATAACCAACAACACTTAATGGATTAATCCTAAAAAGCAGAGTCACAAACAGATTTGAAAGAGACCAGTGGGAATATCAAGTCTGAAAATCCCTTAAACTTTCTCCCATCTCCTTGACCTAAAGGAGACAGATTATTTGAAAGGATGATAGGGGAACGGATGTGGAGCATGTCATGGACAGAGGAGAAAGAAAAAAGAATTAAAAATTATGACAGTATAGAGGAACTTGTCAGGTGTCATGGAGGGAAGAATTTCTTCTGATGCTCAATTAAGCAATTTTCAAGTGCATATTACGATCTCTAGCAGAACTAGTAGGAACTTATCTTAATCTGAAGCAGTAACTTGTGTAGAAGACCTTTTTACATATTGGCCTGCCTTCTCTCATTAGTATTTTCATATAAAATAAACAGCTAAATAAGCTTGCTATGATAACACATATCCCAGATAGCTAGCCAGTAGATAAATTATTAGGGAATCTAAAATGTCTGCCCAAAATAAAACAGGCACAATCAGAGACCTCCTATGCCAGCAGCGGGTGCATCTTTCACAGAGTATTTTCCTTTCTATTTGGAACTTGAACATTTTTATTTTTTGAGACCTCCTACATCTACTTCTAATGCCAGATATCACAGCATGAGACCTCTGAAGAAAAACCACCTGAATACTTTACCTACCACTGCCTTCTGTAGTTGCCACTGGTCCTCATCCTGGCAGGGGGAAGATCCCTTCTGCGAGGTATGTTGCTCTCTCAGTTCCTGAAGCAAGCTCTTTTTCCTGGACAGTCTCATGCGGGCCAGGACTGCCATTCCAACTCTTCGCAGGGTTAACCTTGTGAGTACTGAACATAGCAGAAGTCGGTGTTTTTGCAATATATAGTTAACAGATCTGTAAAAAGGATCATTAAAAATCAATCAGCTAAGCTGTTTGCTGATTTGGCACATGTGTTCAGTAAAGTCATTGCTCAAAGATGGCAAGAGTTACTATTCATTCTGTGTAATATCTTCTAGTACAAAGGATGTCTTGGAGAACTGCTCAGATCTAAAGAATGATACTGCTGTGATAGACTTCTGTTACACTGAACATAAATTAAAATGGGAAGAAAAAAGACAAATAGCACTTTATAATTACATAATAAAAGTTGGGTTTTTTTAATAGGATACTTGAAATAAGATGAAAAGAGAATGTAATCAGAACTACAGGAAAGTTATTTCAAGAAAAGGCAGGACAGCATATCTTGGATTACCAAGGAGGCAACTCTGAAGAGACATTGAAGAGGCTAGTTTCAGCTGGCAGGGCAGACATGGCTTAAGAAAGTTTGTGGTAAACTTTAAACAGGAGAGAAAATTTTCAAGTTGATTCTGGACCAACTGAGTGAAATCTGTGTGTGTTTGGGATGACATTGTTTGTGCCTGTATCTAACTTGTGTGTATATGCAAGGCACCATGAAGTCTCTAGATACCTAATGCTAGGAAACACCCAAGTCAGAGAATGTGAAAATATAAGGTTAAACTGAAAAGTAGAGCCATAATAAAGGAGTGCAATGCCAATAATACCAATATTCCAAATAGAGAAGTCTTGAAAAGCTTTGATCTTTGGTAATGCGAAGACCATGGTGAATGATGTCATTTGATATCTTAAGGCAGATGATAACACAAAATTGTGGGTTTTTGAGACGTCTCTCTATCAAAGAGATGTTTAGCTGTAAAGATGGCATAAAACTAGAAGTTTCCTTGGTGAATATAGAGAATGCAAGAGAGGAGTCATTATCATGCAAAGCAATGGTCAATGGTATTCTAATAGCAGAAAGCAATGGTAGAGCTGAAGGGTGCTGGACTGAACATTTTACCTTGAAGAACACCCAACTCCAATGTGACATGCAGAGTGCAAAGAGAGGCTGGTGGTTCAAGATTAGACTCACTCACAAACATAGGAGTAGATACACAGAAAATACACTACTTGACAAATCACAGAAGACTACTGTTTCTACTTAACAGGTGACATGACATCTCTGTGTTTTTTAGATTTGTTTTTTCACACTCAGACAAAAAACTAGAGTAAATGCCTCTCTGTCTGAAGATGCTCGTAACCCCTCAACACTGCTTTCCACAATGTAATGTCCACAAGTTTTTATCTGTGCATGCAGCAGTGCAGTTTTACCCCACCCCTTCCAAACTTACTCATCACTGAGGCATCCTAGTCTGTTTACGACACCTTGAATTATCTTCTCTTGTTCCTCAGACAGGTGCTTTTGCATCACAGCAGACAGAGCATATTCCTTTATCCATAGCTAAAAGCAGGGGAAAAAAATTACAATTGTAAGGTACTCTAATTTCAGTCATTCTAGTCACCATGCTACAAAGCAGGGATTTATTAGATGATGTTTTGCTAAAAACAATCATCCCACTCTTTCAAGAAACAAACTCATGCCAAATTAAAATCATTCTACTTAGGAATATTTTTTCCTCAATGATCAAAGCTCACTGAAAAGAAAGGAAGGCTTTGCGCTGTTTTGGATCAGCCTTGAGCTGTCTCTCCTACAGATTTTCTGGTTTCAGCAACAGAGGAACAAGAGAAAAAGAATAATATAGCACAAAATATTGCATCAACTCTTATCAGCAGGTTGCAGTGGGCTTTTTTGGGGGTTTTTTTTGGTTTTTTTTTTTTTCACTAGTAGGGAATGTAGATTTTCACTTAACAAAATAAAAATATCATCTTCCATCACACTTTTGTGTATAGTACACCGCACTAATAGAAATGGAGATTGTGCGATTAAGTTTATGAACTGCAAGTTTACAGCTCCTTCGGAGTAATATTTAGATCAAAGAATTTAATTTTTAAATATTTTGATGGATTTGCCATTAGATTGTGAACTTTTGGAGATAAAGACTTAAGATTTTGTTTAGCATATTGTCAGAATGTAATGAACAACAAGCCATAAGATGAGATGGTTGTAAGACTCAAACTCTGTTACTGTGAGATGAAGAGTATATTTTAGGTTACACTGGCAGTTGGATAAACGCAGGCTGCCTGCAGACATATGCAGAGCCCCAAATTAAATATAATACTCAGGCTCTTGACAGCTTCATTTCATGTTGTAGCCTCATTCAGAACATGAGGGACTAAATTTTGTGTTATTGCAGAGAGCAAGGTTTCAGTTCGTCTAGCAAAGAATTAGATATGTAATTGCACTCTTGTTAGAGATAGGAACTAGGAGTGGTGCTGGGCCTTCCTACTGGATTTGATAGACTTTTCCTTGGGAAGCAGTGACCTGTGCAGGAGAGAGGCTTTATCTGCAAGCACAGAATGAACTCCCCAGGGAACTGCAGAACATCAGAAACCACATCACCTTTGGCTTTAAAATAAAAAGATTATTTATTTCTTGGATAGCACCTTCTCTGTTGTATATACAGCAACACTTGTAACTGACCCCTCTCCATGCAGAAACCTTATCAAACCACATGCTCCTGTGCAGGATGTCTGGGAAGGATGGGCAGGCAGTCAACAACAGGTGACAGATGGACAGAGTGCAGCTGAGCATGAGAAGCACAGCCTGAAAATCTGTATGGTGCCAGGGAGCCCACCAGGCTGCTCACAGAAAGAGCCACAAGACTTACCTGTGTAGCCAGACCTCAGCTGATTTGAGTTTAGGTAATTCTTAAAAATCACAGACCACAGCTGAGCACAGTGACTTCTCTGACTGCATGCTGCAAGTGTCAAATTAAGGTCTGCAGGTATCATCATGACAGATGGCAAATACTTGATTGAAGTAACAACTGTATCAGTATCTCCCTTTAGCAGCTCCGTGGATATGGCTTCCTACTGTTTCACACCTCTCTGCATATAGCTTGTAGATGCCTTAAATTGTGTATTTTAATGTCTCTTTTAGTAGTTAAAAGAAGGGCTGAAAATGACCTTTTGCTTTCTAGAAGTATTTTCCTTTTCACTGAGAACCTGCCTGTGGCTCAGACGCAGTCTCCCATCCTTTTTGGAGACCTAGTTACTCACTGAGAAGTTGCTCTTGAAGGGCCTATCTGCACACTTATGGCCAAACAGAATGTGGATTAAATCTGATGTAGATCACCAAGACACAGAAGATGGGATATGTTGTCTGAATCACAACTGGAATGGTAAATGATATAACGTTACAGCCAAGAACTCAAAATTTAGCACCTCTGCTGCTACCAGTATATCCTATCCAAAAAGGCACTCAGAATGATAACAAAACAGGGATTGTAGTTGTTCTTTAATGCTGTTTATGAAGAAATAGCCTAGTTCTGTAGTGGTGAACACAGAGCTTCTTTGTTACCTTTTCCATTGTGAGTACATTTCAGGTAAGCTGTATGCAAAATTTATAAAAGTTCCCATCAGCACCCTGAGACCAATGGAAAGCTCAGAAAACATCAGAAAATCCCTCCATGTGCAGTTATTAAACTAAACAGTAGAAGTACAACAGCCACATAAGTAGTAAGAGAAGAAAGAGGAAAGGAGGGGGATTATTACGCATTTAAGATGGGATGATAAATAAAGAGGATTAAGTTTTGGACCAAATATCAAGACATTCCTGTCCTTTGGAATGGCCTTACTTTGCTTGGAGACAGGTCAGTAGAGAGTGGAGAAAATGATGTTGCTGCAGACTCAGCAGCTGGAAGAGAGCTCAGGCTCTCTGATTCCTGCATTTAACCAGTAAAATCAGTGACAAAAGCATAATTTATGCTTGGGCGACCAAAGCTCCGAGGAATGTCTGGCTCCTTGAAAGGAAAAGTCATTTCAATCACTATGAAAAAGAGTACAAAATTAAGAGAAAGTCATAAAATGTATACCATGTCAAAACTGATAAGCAGATGCTTTCTGGGCATCAAGCAATGATGTGGGAATGGACAGAAATCTCACTCCGTTTTCTTCTCTGTAAGCTTCCCAGTGTTTTGCTACCTGGCAAGAAGTCCATTACAAGACCTTCTGGAGCACTGATAACATTAAATATTACTCTCTGGCAACAAAGGTGAGGAATATGCCTTTGGTAGGTAACAAAACCACCTCTCAAGCCACAAGGACCTTGACAGGCTGGAGAGGTGGGCCCCCTCAAAAGCCACAAGGACCTTGACAGGCTGGAGAGGTGGGCCCATGCCAACCTCATGGAAGTCCAACAAGGCCAAGTGCAAGGTCCTGCATGTGGGTCGGGGCAATCCCAAGCAAAAATACAGGCTGGGCGGAGAAAGGATTGAGAGCAGCCCTGAGGAAAACAGGAAAACAGCTCATGGTAGTGGGGTTGGAACTAGATGATCTTTAGGTTCCCTTCCAACCCAAATCATTCTGTCATTCTGTGAAATGGATAAAACATTTTGAGTTAGACCTCAGATATAACAGCAAATTAGACCCAAGAAAGCTCACTCTTTTTTCTGCAGCTCTCAGTTTGACATTTTAACATACATTCTCAGGAAACTGAAAGAAAGCAATTTCTCCCTAACAGCCTGTAGATGGGGTGTGATGCACACTGAATGCCAAGCAAGTACCTCAGCCTGGTGCAGCAGTCTGCTCCTTGTAACCACTGCCCAGGCAGGAGACCTTGTCTACAGAAATCATGAGGCAGGGGCTATGTGCAAAAATACTCAAAATTTATCTTCATTAGTCATTTATTCTCATTTGCCTCTCTCACATCCTCAAATGTGGAAGGCAAAAGTTACATACGAAATGGATTTTTTCTTCTCAATTCTAAACCAGATTCTGTTCCCCCAAAGGGCATCATATTGCAGATACGTATAAATGCCGGGAAAGATAATCTCAAAAAAAAAGCTGTTCAAGAAAATGGCAAAAATGTCTTTTTGAGCCACCTTGAAAAGCACATATAAATACCTTGCTGAAAAGCTTTCCAGCACTGGACTTCCCAAGTCTGTAAAGCAGGTGACTATGTAACTCTTAGTATAGTGCACTTATCAAGAGGCTAATGAAAGACAGATCTCCTGCTGCCCGATAAATTAAAAGGCCTGCCAATATGAATGTTGATTTATGGATCTGCTGTCATATCCAGCACTGTAACATCTATGGAATCTCCTAAATGGCATGATCACCTGTCACAAGTGACTTATTTCACTTCTTCTTTTCTTAAGGTGGAAATCAAGTGCTCCTTTTTGTAGGATGAAAGTGTCAGCTTATTGCTTAAATGTGCATGCTGCTGCCTTTGTACTAGGAAAGGGACAAGAAATGCACTTTGCATTTGAACATAATATGAGTTCTGTGATGTTTTTCAGACTTGTTCATACAAGAAAATCTGCCAGCCTAACTTTGATGAAATAGCTATTTACCTGCATTCTCTCTTTGGAGATATAGAAGACTTTTTGCGAGTTTAGTTCAAAACACTTCCAAAAAAGCCACACACATTAAGTTAAAAAAGCTACTTAAGCTCATGCAAAGAACATAATCTTGAGGAATCACACATTTTCCCACCGGAAGAGACCCTTGTCTCTTCTAGGAATTTATCCCACAGAATCACTCACCCTTATGACAGCTCTGTCTTATGTTGAATAAGGCCCAGTGCTGGTGACCCATGTGAGAGCAATGTGAGAGCTCTGTCATTGCTAGGGGAATTCCTCTATAACTCAGTAGTTACTGTTAATGATGTCAGCAAACCCTTTATTTTTTTTTTTTCATCTAGGAAGCCATCTGCTTTATATTATGAATGCTATGGTACACTGAAAGTGATGGATATTCAACTTCCTAATTTAAATAACCTATGCCTGGGCATGACTGGAACATCTGAATTCACATGCAATTAATCCATCATACAGTGCTGCCCAAAGAACTATTATCCAGCAACCCGGTGCTGGAGATGAACTAATTCTTTTAATCCCTTGAGAAAAAATCCCAGGGTATGGTTTCTCCACTCAATACTGAGCCCAGTGATAGTAACAGAGGAAAGCATAAATGGCCATTTTGGAACAAAACTTTAGACTTTAGATCTCCCCCTCTGTGGAGGGTCTACTAGCTGTTAAACAACATCCTTTCTGGCCCTGAACAATGGCTGAGGTTCAACAGGACAGTGGAAGGACCAGAGCAGAGGTGCCCTAACATGCACTGTGACTTCTGAGACTAATCATTAATTGCACAACAGAACTTCCTTCTCTGATTGTGGTTTTTAATGACAGCAAATACCACTACCGTGCTTTGAGCTCCATGCACTATGAGACATGCTTGTAGTGCACCTACTAGACCAGGCTGCTTAGGTCATTCCCACACAAGGACAGGCGATTTGTGAACCCTCAGTGAATGTGAAAATGAACAGCAACCTAGAGGTTTAAGACTGACAAGTCAGGTATTGAATCTAATCCTTGATAAAAAGGGGCAAAATAAAAAAAGTTGAGGTCAGACATTGTTTCATTAACCACTGAAGGCACAGGTACACCAAATTCAAACACTAAATGCCAGCCAGCAGTCCTAGAAAACAAAAAAGGCCTGCCTTTAACTTAAAGCACATGAGCAGGCTCATTGGCACCAGTTGTCAGTCCCAAGTGTATTTTAGTTTAGTTTGCTAGATATTCCTGTGACACAGAAACAGAAGAGGCAAGCAGAATTGTTCTTCCAAATAGTTGAGATAACAGGTGAGTTACTATACAGTAAATACAAAATGATCAGGGAGGTGCATCTTGTAAAACTCCAGATTAAGGAAAGAAGAGAAGAAAAAAGGAAATGGCCAAGAATTTCCAACGAATAATTTTACTTTTGTATTCCCAAGGGTGCTCTGAACCCAGTGGTCAGCAGAGTGGATTAAGTACACAGTTTTATGGAAAAACCCTAAATATGAGTGGGTGGAAAAGCTAAACACCTTATAGCACTCTGTAATAATCAGGGACTTAGTCAGTACCTTATTAACCATGCACTGGATTGTCCAGGCACTTTGGAGAATGAGGCTTGGGAAAAAAGGATTATTTTGCTAATGTTGAAGAACTCTGCCGATGTTTTATTTAAGAAGCTCCAATTACTCTATACATTGCAGCACACATTTGGGAAGGGGCACACCTGTGTATAGAGAAGGTCTTTCTTTGACTAAGCTGTGTTAGTCTTCAAAGCAGTGTTAACAGTGTCATAACACTGCACGAGTAAATTTAAGGTATATTTGAGTTCCAGCCTAATGCTGAAGATACCTGCCTCTGCATTTACTGTTGCTTTTCTCCTCTGGTGTCAGTGCCCCCTATGCTGGGCACAAACGGAGCAGGAAAGCTGGATGTGTGTTTCTTCACCTTCTCAGAGTAAAGAATAAGTTTCATATACAGTGTGTATTACATATTTCCAATTGTTACAGTGTTAATACATAAAAATAATTAGGAAATATTCATCATTGTAAGGCCTCCTTTCCTGTAAACTGTACTCACATGTACCCTCTCCAAACAGACCAGATGAAGGTTTTTTTTGAACTGTTTCTGTAGATGCTCAAGAGTTGAGGACATCAGACAGCAGCCTTGCCAAAAGATGTTTATGCACTGACAAAGCTGTCAAACACTGTGGACAGATGTTCTGAAACTACTCTCCGACTCCTCTCTGTAAGTCTACATGCACAGCATATATACTCACTCCATACTTCAGGTCAAACTGCCCATTCTGAGTCTGGACCTGGGCTGTACATTTATACACAAAATATTCCCCACAGATATTGAAGATTTTTTTCCATATCCCTGGTTTTAAACACTGAGGTCCCAGAACATAACATTGGTCTTACTTCTTTTTCTTGTAATAGCTGTTCCTGGAAAAGCTTCCAGCACCTCTGGTGATGGGTCTCCAATTTCTCCAGCTGAGGAACCAAATTCTCCTGCCATTCCTCTTTCAGAAGCTCACATTCCTTTACAGAGAGGCCGGTCACAACAGGCAGAGTCCGAAGAAACAGCTCCGTAACCAACTCCGCTAAAGCATGGGAAGCTTTAGAGTACAGCTCCTAATAGAGGGACAAAGAGGGACAGAGAGAGACAGGTGAGAAAGTGAACCCCTTGGCCCCCTGGAGCTGTTTCATTGCATGTCTCCATGGCACCAGTAAGGGAACCATGTCCCAGAGAAAACATTGGGCCAGAGACCCCTAGAGCTAAAATCCAGTGCCACTAATGCTTGGGTCAAAAGACCAGGTTTTGAAGATGGAACAACTTTAATGCTTTGGTTCAAGCCATACAAAGGTGTTTAAAACGCAATAGTGGCATAAGCACATGAAACCTTGAACATGCAATCACAATACAAAAAATATCTTGTTCTACTGACTATGGTGATGTGTTATAAAAACACTTTTTGAAAGTTGCTGCGGAAACAATCCTGTGTAGCACAACACCTCATAGGCACATTTGCAAAGGTGCTGATACGAAATGAATGAAGTCAAGAAAGAAGGAAGAGTTAAAAGAGAGGTACGGAATTTAGTTAGACAAAATTGACACAAATCATGTTAATAGTCGGTGCTCTGAAACATGCCACTTTTCAATGCCTTCTGGAAAGACAGAATTATTCAAATTCCTTCTGATGCAGAACAGGTTCAAACCTAGGAAAACAAACATCTTCTGGTGGTTTTATTAAAACTAGTCCCATATGAGTGGTTTTCAATTGCTGAGGCCGTTTCACTTGCAAGAAGAGTCTGTATGATTTAGTCAGATAGCATCCAAGCTATGAAGTCTGTTCAAAACATGTAAGTTCACAGTAAGTAAATACACAGTGATGATAGGAGCTGTGTTTGCAAACTTTCTACAATTTAAGATAATCCCTGAGGAGAAGGAGAGAGGGCAGGCAGCTTTCCCCAGAGGAAGAGAGAAAACGAAAACAGATTGGAAAGGTCACACGGACACTGCAGTACTCCAGCAGTATGAAGAGCTATATTAGAGTGAGTTCCACATAATCTTACCAGTCCAAAAAGCTTTATCACCTACTTGGTTTTGCTTTCATTGTAAATCACTGTTAGCCCTCTTGAAAACAGTTGTATTTGTTTCTTTTCCTTAAAACACAGCTCATACTTTTAAAACTCTTTTCAGCATTCCTGTTGCAAAATAAGTCTTATTGCCTTCTTTAAAATACGGGTTTAACTGTATTCTTTACGTGATCAACATCTAGAACCTCTCAAGAGAAACACAGACATATTTATCTAAATGTCAAAAACATTTATCTGCAGCTCATAGACATGAAAGTTCTAGTGGACTTGTCTTTTTTTAGGAGACACACAGGTATAATGTACTATTGTGTAAGAGCCCATTCCAACTGCTAGATATGGGATCATAAAGAATAAAGTAAGACAAAAAAACCCAAAGAGCACGTTAAATTGCAAAGTCAAGGAAATAAAAAATAATCAGAACTGAGGTTGCATGGGAAGTCTGGGTTTGTGCCCCCATAATGATAAATTTTGGGTTCACATACTGTTTCCACAAACCTTTATCTACTCCATGTTTAGGTGTATCAATACCCATTGAATAACCAGCTTTCTTAAAAATACTTATTCTTTATTTCTCATTTATTGTAAAATATCCAAGCTGTGCACTGAATACTAAATTATTATTTTCCTCCTGGGATCCCAGTAGGATGCTAATCACCATATTAATGAGCTGTTTCACAAACCATAAATAGCTTATCTTAACAGCTCCCCACAGTAACCTCTACTTATGGGTAAAATCAAGGCACAACACTATCAAAAGTGTTCACTGCACCTCTGAGATGAGCTGTCTTGATTTTTTCCACTCTCTTACCTGTATAAAGCATGCAGCATTTCCAGAACCCAGCTCCAACTGCCTTTGTTTAATCTCAAAGTGGTTTGAATTCTTGTAAATTGGGCTACAGATTTCTGAAACTGGATACTGGGTTTAAGTATCAGAACCAGTAGTCAAAAACACAATGATCAGATATCTAATTTCTGGCAACATACTCCCATTTCTAGCTATTGCTCCCAATCTGTAGGTGACAGTATCATTAATGTAACATTTGCGACAAATGTTCATCCTATGCTGAAGGATGGATCTCTCCTACTCCTCAATTATTAGTTACCTGTCCTTGTTAGAACAAGAGGCAGGATTTATACCATCTTAATCATCTGTGTATTTGTGGGCCTGGCTTAGCTTGCCAACACTAATGCAAAATGGTTTGTTTGAATTCTCTCTTCTGATCCTATTTATTTGAAAATTCAAGTCTCCAAATTCTGGGATTTAACATAAGCTCAAAGATCCTTTGTTTCTAATCTTTGTATCCTACACAACATTTAAAGAATGATCACTCTATCTCTGTAAACCATCTCTTCTCTGAGCTTTACTATCCTTTCAGGAGAAGTTAATTCTCCTACCTTTACAGGGTGTTCAGAGATATAAGAATTTCTCTTGGGTCTGAAATAGTTCAGAAGCAGTCTAGAGGAGTTTGTGGCATTTCTACTGCAATCTCAAAAGATCTCAGGCAGGGTGTTACGGAACTCTATTCATAAACAAACGAGAGTTCCACCTATGGCAGCTAAATCACTTTGCAACACATTCTGCTGCGGAACTGATAGCATTTCCCTGACATGCTGACAGCACTGTATTATTATTTACTAGGAAATCTTTTGCACAGAACATAAAGAAAGTATTTTGTTACTTGCCTTCATGCCATTCTGTTTAAAGACCAAGTGAAGAGAGTTCAGCTTGCACTCCCTGAAGCTTCAATTTATACTGTATACTTACCTTTGGCACGACCAGAGTGGGTACACAGCTACCCAGGAAAAATGTGACTTGGTCCTGTCCCCACAGAATTACTTACCTACATCACCTCATTAATGTGATTGGCCAAGTTATCTTTAGATCAAAGATGCTTAACTATTTGTTTGCAAAATACTTCATGGCCCTCTGCTGAAACTGGTATACGAAAGGACAAGAAAGGCGGATTAGAATTCCAGAAGCAGTTTTTTACATCAACAGTCCCTTTAAACATGAAAATGCTGGTTGAATACATGGAGGGGAAGCAGGACTAAAGCAGTATGTTTACATCTCACATATGTTACAAACTGTCATGCAAAGCAACAGGAAGCCTGGTCAGCTGCTGTCAGTCCCTGGGACAGTGAATTTTAACAGGACTGACCACTTTCCCTTTAAATTCTGTTAGAAATTCTCCTCTGTGCAGGACACAAATCCTGTACTTACTGGTCTCACCTGTGGTCCTGGATCACAAAATAAACTACTGTCAGTGATGACTATCAACATACAAACTTTCTTCAGGGAATCACTGGCTGCTGGCTTTGATCTGAACACATAAGCATATGGACATTAGGCCCCAGTTAGTCCCTGCAACCCAGACCCTGACACAACAGTCTGTTCTACCCAGAGGACGTGCAACACATACAATACGGTGGCTACGCGGTTAATGCAGCACTTGAAAAAAATGCAGTGGAATGGCCTTTTAAAATTTGGTAGGGGAAATGGTAAGTCTACACTCAGGAAAGACTGCAGATGTGGCTGAATTCTACCAAAGTGACACAAGCTAACAAAGTACTTCAAACCTATTTGTACTCTAAGGAACGTACTTGATCTGAAACAGCGATAAAATCTGTCTGTGAACAGGGACAGCACGCTACATATCAAAAAGCTTATTTTAAAAAAAAAAAAGTTAAGAAATCCTACTGCTTCCAGGATCTTATTTTTGGACTAGAACCCCTATAAAATAGTTTTTAGAAGCTTCCTGATATGCCATTTCTTGCTTTTAAAACTTTTACTTAATGAAATTTATTCAAAATGATTCCATTAATAGGATAGCTGATTGCAGTGTTGAATGAACCTGTTTGTAGTACCTGGCAGTGAATCTCAAAGCTTTTCAAAAAATCTCCAGAGAAATTCATCAAGCATAAAGAAATACCATGGGGTATACGAAGAAATAAAATGGGCTCAGATTAAAATGCTGAGTGCATCTGAATTTCAAACAAGGCAATAAATACATAATTTTGTCAAAAACCATGGGAAATATACAGTTTATCAGATTTCACTACAAAATCAAAGAACAATATTAATGCTGTCCCTCAAACCCAAATTATTAAAAGGTTCCTACATGCAGATGAAAATACAGTGAAAAATGAATTTGTGAAGCAGGAAAATTTATTTAGAAAGCCTGGTTGTACTGTATTTTACATGCCAGTCACTGCCCAGTATATATTATCTCCAAGAGGCAACTGCATAGCTCTTTGTTAACTTGTGATAGCCATTTGTTAACATATGATACCACAGCATCTCATTAAAATAATTAAAATTTCTAGTCAAGGCTGTAGAACATTCTTGCATGTATCTCCAGAAGCTCAATGGCTAGGACACTTGTTTGGGAGGTAAGAGATTCATCTCCCAACCCATATGGACTCTTACTAAGGACAGAGATTCAATACTCGAATCATACATCCCATAAATACTCCAAACGTTCTTGGACACCACTGGCCACTAGAAGATACTTCACGTTATAAACTCATGCTAAAAGGGGAAAAGCTGATTTCCTGTACTTCTTGTCTTCCACATGAAGAATTCTAGAATGCTAACTGGAAAAAGAAAACAGTGCCGTGCCTTTAAGCATACTAACACCAATAAAACAATGACATTGAAGTCATCCTTAGCACAAGCTAATTAAAAAAAGTTTGATTTTGATGCATTTAAAATGGAGGCTCATTGAAATTCCAGTCTTGCCCCCTTACTGGTCCTTGATTTACTCAGGAGGCAGTTTCAGTCTCTTCTTTCTGTACTCCCTTTTTACAGATATGCCTTTGTAGATAAGGTTATGTCCTTTACTAGATCTAACTATTAACAAATTGTGAATCCATATAGAGGTAAAATACAGTTTCCTATGCAATAAGGCAAGAAGCAGAAGCTATCCATATCAGGCATCTTGTATCAGCTTTGACAGAAATGATCACATCAAATTTAATCAGTGCCCAAACCCACAACTAGACTGAGCTCGCATGGTAAGAGTTCACAAATTTAA